AATCCGCTGTTAGTTAAGGAGCTGGTACATAAATTACCGAACAGCCAAAAGGTAAATTGGGCAATTCACCGGAAAGACGAAAAAATAACTGTAGTCAAGCAGTTCAGTGAATGGTTGTATAACCTCGCAGCCAGCACTGTGGTTAGTTCAGCGCCGACTAAAAACGACGCCTTGGTAAACACACATACCGTCGACGTGAGTGCACAGGCTCAGCAAGTTGAACGAAGCAAACGTAAAAGCAACCAGTGTAAAGTCTGCAAGAGCGACGTTCACAAAGTAGCACAGTGCGATATCTTTAAGAATCTCTCACTTCAGCGCAAGTGGGAAGCCGTAAAGAACAATAATCTCTGCCGACAGTGCCTTAACCCACATGCGCGCAAATGTTTTTTGAATAGAATCTGCAGTAAAGATGGATGTACAGCTAAACGTCATCCCTTGCTTCACAGATCGAGCACAGGGACAAGTAAAGTTGACCCAGTAAGTACGAATACAATTGAGCTCTCGGCACAGGTAAACGCGCACAGTAATGGGTATGGAAAAGCACAACCTCTTTCTAGAATCGTGCCAATTCGAGTTTACTCCAAAAATAAAGTAATAAACATATTTGCATTCCTAGACGAGGGTTCGTCCGTCACATTAATAGAAAAAAGAGTATTCAACAAACTCGGTTTGGATGGCCAAGAAGATCCACTATGTTTACAATGGACGGGTAATACAACTCGTGTAGAGAAAAACTCAATAAGAGCTGATATCGAAATCTCAAGTACCACAAGTGATCGCAAGTATACTTTGAAGAACATTCATACCGTCGAAGACCTCGATCTACCAGCACAGTCAGCTCACGCACAAGAGATGCAGAAAATTTACCCGCATCTTGCTGGGCTACCGATCTCATCGTATGACAACGTCACCATCCTTGTTAATTGGCGTAGACAATTGGAGGTTGGCAGTTCCTCTTAAAATACGGAAGGGAACATGGTCCCAGCCAATAGCCTCGAAAACTCGGCTTGGATGGACACTACAGAGCTGCGGTGTTGCATGTGCTGCGGAATATTCACACTTGCGACTGCAAAGAAGATTACACCAAGCTGCATGAAATGGTGAAAAATTTCTTTAAATTGGAATCTGTAAATCCACATTTAATGTCAGAAGACGATGCAAAAGCCGTGAGTATCATGAATAACACATGTCAAAAGGTAGGCGATCGCTTTGAAATCGGCCTAACGTAGCGTGACTCTCAATATTTCGCTGCCAGATAGCTATACTAATGCTCATCAGCGGCTTATGTGCTTAAAAAAGAAGTTTGTTAAGGAGCCTGCGTTAAAGTCTATCATTCAGGGTCAGATCGACAACTTACTTGCCAAAGGCTCCACCAAGAAACTTACAGCAGAAGAGATTGCGGTTCCTAGAGAAAAGATTTGGTATATACCAATATTTATTTTAACCAACCCTAACAAGCCGGCCAAAATTCGTATGGTGTGGGACGCAGTTGCGAAGGTCAAGGGTCTTTCACTTAACGATTTTCTGTTACGCGGGCCAGACTTTCTCAATCCCCTGGTTGAAATTTTGTTATCGTTCAGAGTGGGCAGGGTTGCGATATGTGGGGACATTTCGGAGATGTTTAACCGAATAAACATCCGCGAGGGTGATATGCATTCCCAACGATTTCTCTGGTATGACGAAGGCGATAAGCAAGATAGTCCAAGCGTTTATGTTATGCGAGCAATGACGTTTGGACTTAATTGTGCTCCCTGCATCGCACATTACATCCGCGATAAGGACGCGGATAAATTTAAAGAAGAGTATCCTCGTGCTGTAGACGCAGTGAAGAACAGCCACTACGTAGATGATTACATCGCCAGTGAAGATGATGAACAATCTGCGCTACAGTTGGCACATCAAGCGCAGAAGATCCACAGCAGTGCCGGATTCAACATAAGAGGCTGGTCGTCCAATTCAATGAACGTCTTAGAACAACTCGAACGAAGCAGCAGCGTTATCCAAACTGGCAAAGAATGGGGATCCACTACGAAAGTTCTCGGAATGTTCTGGGATCCCATCGGGGATAGCTTCAAGTATATTTGTAGATTTTCAAGATTGCGTTGCGACGATATCAATGAACCACTCGTACCAACAAAGAGAGAAGTGCTTCAAGTCCTGATGTCCATCTTCGATCCATTGGGGTTTGTAAGTTGCTATACCATAGGACTAAAAATTCTATTGCAGGATGTATGGCGCTCAGGCATCACTTGGGATCAGCGGCTGAATGACGACCTCCATAATAAATGGTGTCAATGGAAGAATGTAATGCGATTAATAACAGCGGTCGAAATACCTCGACGCTATTCCGTATTGTTGAAAGGTGCGGATGACGTTCAGCTTCACACGTTTGTTGATGCCGGAGAAAATGCTTACGCAGCCGTTTGTTTCTTGCGAGTAAAGCGAGGAAAGTGACATCTTTTCCTCTGTGACTCTGGTAGCTGCCAAGTCCAAGGTTGCGCCGTTAAAACCGTTGTCCATTCCTAGATTGGAACTGCAGGCCGCAGTAATTGGAGTGAGGTTGGCATTGGCATTACGTCGAGATGTTGGCGGTCAGACTCTATGACAATTCTTCAATGGATCCGGATGGACCCAAAAAAGTTCCATCAGTACGTTATGCATCGGGTTGACGAAATTTTGGAGATATCGAACCCGGAACAATGGAAATGGGTGCCGTCAAAAATGAATCCTGCGGACTTAGGTACGAAGGTCTCAGCGAAGTACAACTACCAGCAATGACATGAAGGTCCAAAATTTTTGCTGCTCAAGCTTAACCTCGGTTTGACGACTCGAAACCAGACGATTTTGATGCTTCAGAGGTCAGACATTACGTTTTTCATGCTGTAAAAGTTCACAATCAGATTCCGGCTATGAAGATAGAATGCTTTTCTGACTGGAAACGACTGTATCGAGCAGTTGCTACGTTTTTTTCTGTACATCGACCGTCTTCGCGCATTTGTGGCAGGTGAAAATCCTTATCTACTGTTGATTTCGATCTGATTCAAAAGGCCCAAAGACTTTTAGTCAGGTTTGCACAGGATTCAGAGTTTAGTAAGGAGAAATTTTTACTTAAAGACGGCAAAACTATAGAGAAATCCAGCAAACTCATCACAGCCAATGTTTATTTGGACGCAGACGACATAATTAGAAGTAAAAGCCGCGCTGAACGTCTGAATAAGCACGAATATGCCATTGTATTGCCAAGATGTGACTACATCACGTTTCTTATAGTCAGAGAATTTCACGAACGCTTCCACCACCTAATGCATGAGGCAATAATTAATCAAATACGTGGGCGATATCTAATAAGCCGACTGAGAGTACTTTATAGAAAGGTTCGTCAGACCTGTCAAAGATGGAAAAATGCTTTTGCGGCTCCACAACCGCCTCAAATGGCAGCATTGCCAACTGCAAGGCTCTCCGCTTTCGAAAAAACCTTTACATATGTCGGTATCGACTATTTCGGTCCATTGGTCGTCGTCATTGGAAGAAGGCACGAAAAAAGATGGGGCGTACTGTTCACTTGTTTAACTCTTCGAGCAGT